TATTTTTCTATGATTAAAACATAAATATATGCTGTCATATTGAACACATGTTCAGATTGACTCTATAGATAATTAATGTGCCATTTATACAACACTTAACAGCTTCAGTATGAAACATTTGAATAACATCTGTCAGACTTGCTAAAACATAAATAAATAAATGAATATAAATGTTGAATGAATGGTCTGAATGTTGATATCAGTATGCATAGAAATAAATGTCAGAATATTCCTGTAAGGAGATCAAATGTCATTAATTATTCTAGATTAGTAGTTTAATAAATACCTCGTTATTGTGTAATTAGAAGATAACACAGGAATCTTTTTTCTGAGCCTGAAAGTAAAAATTATAGTTGTCATAAGTGCCATGTAATTAATTATTATTTCTAATCTATGTTTACTTATTAAAGAGTAACTGAACAGACCCTGATATCCTTGTCTTTGCTGACCTCCGGTGGTTTAACGTCTCGCTGCAGTGAGGTACAGGTGTTCTCCAGGACCAGAGAGGACAGAAACCCTTTAAAGTCCAGGTGAAATTAACTCTTTCAGATCACATCCTCAGTTACACTGCACCCCTATTTAACAATGTCTGACAAAAACTTCACAAAACCTCAATTTCTTTGTATTTTTTCATTAAGATCCAATAATTTTGTCTTAATAATTAATCATTTCTGATTCATTAGTTGGTTAGCTAGCGGAGCTCATTGATTACTATACAAACACACAACTTTATCAGTGATTTGGGTGAAACTGGATCATATTTTATGGAGAGAATACTGAAACACAGCTCTGCTTTCCTTCGTTTTTACAGGAAATACGTTAATTTCTGTTTCACCTGGACTTTAAATGATCCAGTTCAAGGTTATAAGTGGGCATTTTATTAGGTACACCTACATCATCTATTGACAAAACTCTTCCACAGATTCTTTACAAGGTTTATAATGTTCAGTATATAATATAGAGTTTTTGTTGATGTCAGAAATTCAGTAACATGTTTGTTACAGAGTTACTGGGCTGTCCCGACTCAGATTTGGCCATTTAAAGCAAAGATTTGACTGAACTCCTACATCAGCAGCTCCCGCGGTGGAAACAAGGCCATGTGAGTCCATTGATTGGTTACAAGGCAACGAGTGTAAATGCTCGCTCCAGATGGATTATGAATTTAATCAATACCGGTTTTCTGATCAAGCGCTTCATCAGTAGTTTTGTTTCGAAGGAGGAAACCGAAGCATACATTGCTGGACTCTACTGAAGTAGCATATTTTGGTGAGTCCAAGACTCACGTCTTTCTGTGTCATCTGTGATGTGAAACCATCAGTCAGAAAGAGTAAAAGTGTTTGTCCGCTGAGCGTCTCTCCTGCCGGGCTGCTGACGCCGCTGTTGGAGTCGGAGCAGCCGCTGTCCGGTGTCCGGCTGCCCTCCGTTATCTTTCTCTGCTTCCTTCACAGTTAGTTTCACGAATCATGGTCATTGTGAGACTCTGCTCTGTGTACATGCACAGACGCAGCTAAAAAACAAAAGTGCAGCGATACAAAATGAGCCAATTCGGGGGTTTTCATGACTCCAATTATCGACTTTTTGGGATCAGCCCTACGGAGGTCATACGTATTTAAAGGTGCATTTACTGAGGTGTTTCTGAGCTCACATACAAACATAAGAGGGTCAGAATATTAGAAAGTCGACATTATGGCAGAACAGTTACAGCTGAGTGCATTAGACTGTACAGGTGTACCTAATTAACTGGACTTACTGTATGTGCTTTATGTCCAGTTAACCTCCTACAGAGCTCTAATAAAGTAACATTTTCTAAATTTAAGCTGCAGGTTTGCTGATATAAAGATATGATACATTCCCACCGTCCACTGTTCTTTGTACAGATTGTGTCTAATATAAAGTGAAATTGGTTTTAATTGTAATATAATGTTTTAGTTAGGTGTTGTAAAAAAGTTTTGTATTTCTGACTATAGATATTAATGGAAAATTAAAGATGAAGTTGTAATAATAAACATTGTGATTCCTTTTTTTTTATGACTAACTTATTATACATTTTGGGGGTAGTTAAGGAGCTCTGTAACTTTATCAGTTGATTTGTCACTAAACAAATATTCAATAACTGATTTATATGTTGTATCTTGTTGGCTAACAAACTAGTTGTCGGTCCATCCAATAGAAAGCTAGCGTTTGTTGACAAATAGCTCCATTGCTCTCTAAACTGCATTTTTACAGTTTTTTTTTTTTGTGTATTTAGCTTCTTCGCATAGTTTGGTTAGCTCGCTTAAAGTTAGCTTCTAGGTCATGACCAACAAAACTAATCTTGGATAAACTGGTGACTAGGTTGTTAGCTAGTCAGACTGACAGATATGCAGGTTTGGTAAGTTGGATATTTGTTTTGACATGCTAGGCTAGCAGTTTCCAGTCTTTGTGCTAAGCTAAGCTAAACACACTGTTGACTGGACACTAAAGCCTTCCTGTAGCTAATGAGGTTTCTGGAGGGATTTTTTGTCTTTAACAAGCACATTTCAGCAGAAGTGATCAGTTTAAGTTTTAGATGTAGCAATAAATTAAATTAACGCCATCATTAGCTTGGGGTTGGCTGTAGTCGGCTAAACTCCGCTAACTTGGATGGATTGGTGATTAGCTTGTTAGCTAAGACGTTACAACATGTAAACGGTAACCGTTTTTGGAAGGTGGTTTTGAGCTAAGCTAGCAGTTTCCACCTGCTTCCAGTCTTTGTGCTAAGCTAGGCTAACCCCATCCTGGATCTCTCTACTACTCTTGCTGTGGGGAAGACGATTTCCCAAAATTCTTCTTTTCAACCATGGATGTCAACACGCGTCTTCAAGGTTGTCATATTATAAATATCTCACTTGTTTTGCCCAAATTTGGATGTTTCCTGTGTCTCCTCAAGTCCTTCGAAGGAGTTTGACCCTGGAATGGGACACTGGTTCACCTCACGGCACAGGATTTCTGGGTAATGAAGTCCTTTGATCGTTAAATCTCTCCGTCCCGTCAGCCGAAGGCGTTGCCATTGCGGGCGGCCTGGCTGCTGAGCCGGTTCCTGCTGCGGACGGGTCGGTCCCGGCTGAAGATGGTGTCCTGGTCGCTGTCCAGTTCTGACTCGGACATCATGAGGCTGGAGTTGTGCTCCGTGCTGCGGTGTTTGATACCTGCAGAGACGGGAGGAGTTTGAGTCTGAACGTCTTTTAAAAAAAGGTCCTGCACTTCAGTGTTCTTCTAATGTGGGCCGTTTTATTTTGATAGGTTGCTCTGCTGTCCTGCCTCCACTTGTGGGCTAAAGCTTCTGTTTTACTGCATAGCTTCTTTTTTTTTAATCACTTTCCAGGGTTATGTTTTTAAGAAATCATTTTTAAGTGTTTCAGGTTCATTGCAGCAGGTAGGTGATCAGCGTTTATTGGACTCTCCTATATCTATGTACAGAAACAGTGGAGACATGGTGTCTCTCTCCCTCGTGCCTGTGTTGTATCTCAGGGCCTTCTCTGTTTCCAGGTTGTGTTTCCATAGCCGGTCTGCCCACTGAAACTGCTGTTTATCATCGTTGACGTCGGTAACTTAAAGGATTATTCCACCAAACCAGAGTTGGTGATTGGTTAAACCACTAACAGAGACAGTTAATGAGTTTTATTTTCTGTTTCTTCCACTTCGTGGAGTTATGTATGCTAGTTCATGTAGCAAGATGAGGTCGTGTCTCTAGTCTGGTGAGAGTGATAGTGATCACTTACCTGGCTGTTGTGTAAAAATGCTTAAAGGTCTAATCATCTGTAGGGGATCCTTTTCATTAATGCTGTCAGACAGCCTGACAAGTACTACTGTTAGTGGAACAAACAACAACTACTGTTAGTGGAACAAACAACAACTACTGTTAGTGGAACAAACAACAACTACTGTTAGTGGACGCACTTTAATGGCTCATTTGTCCCCAAGAATTAACGTTAGCTTATTTTGAAACGTTTTTTTACAAATCAGTCTATCAATCATCTACGTTGGTGAATTAAAGATTTATTTCCACCAAACCAGAGTTGGTGATTGTTGGAAACACTAACGGAGACGGTTTTGGTGAGTTTCATTTTGTTTTACGATTATCTGCCAGGTAAAATTACTGGTTTTGTTTATGGAGCCTGGCTGGTCGTAGCAGCCATTGTTTTGGTTTTGGTTTTAGTGAATTTTATATAGATAACCTTTAACTACACCTATCTTACCTACCTAAGTGTACAGTCACACAATGTCTTACTTTACATACAGACTCTGGCCTGAAGTGACTCACTGAATTTGGGTCGGAGCTCCACCCTCTCCTGTTCGTCCATGTTGTCCAGGATGGTGTATTTGGTTTTCTTCCTCACTTTGGTCTGCCTCCTCCTAAACACAGTCGACAAACAGACTCAGACACACACTAATCTTTTTCTCCCCTCACATTGGCAGAAATGGGCTCCCGTAGAAATCTGAATAACATCGGTGTACGGTCTGTAAACGTGTGTTCACCTCTTGCAGCAGCAGATGAAGGTCCAGCCGACCGACAGGATGAAGACCATGAGCATGAAGCTGGTCAGGATGACGTACAGCACCCTCCACTCTGACAGGAAGAACAGTGAGCCCCGACATCAGACTGCTGTGTTGTATCTCCAGTGTGTGATCAATAAAGTCTTTAAGGGCAATTAGTGCTTATAATTACCACAGTTGCTCTCTCCGTCGCCAAGGTAACGCCGAATCAGGTTCTCCGTCCAGAAGGGGTCGCATGTGCACTCCTTGGTGATTGGATCGCACTGGCCACGCCCCGAACAGCGAAGCAAACACACTGAAAGAAAACGGGGGCGAAAGTGGAAACAAGTCTGACGTGGCTGTATTTTGATATCCTGACGCACATCTGTGTAATTTAATTTAATTTAATTTAATTTATTGAATAAAGTCAGTCAGAGTTGGGGTTCGGTGTCTTGCCTAAGGACACTTCAGCAGAAGGAGCCGGGGATCGAACCGCCAACCCTGTGATCAGTGGACGACCCGCTCTACATCCAGAGCCATGTCAAATTAAAACTGATATTTCTTCACCTACTGAGGTAATAATTGGTCAAAATGCAACAAAGATCGCAGACATATCGATGTATGTGTTATCTGATATCCGATATATAATGCAGACAATAATACTGGAGGGGGTTATATATTGGTGTCTGTGCACAGTTTATCCAGCAGAGGGCGCTGTTGTTTACAATACTGTGGCAGCAACACAGAGTGAAAGAGCTCTCAGCAATGTGTATGTTCAATAACATGTTAAAGAACATCAAGCTTAAATAATAATAATTAATAAAGTTATTTGTTTAAGAAAGCAGTCGTCTGATTAGTGCACAACCCACATAGAAAAGGTCGGTGTGTAATTTTGAACTCACAGACGGTGTCGACTCTCAGGACTCTGAACAGCAGGTAGTCGCTCTTCTCTCTGAGCAGCTGGTTTCTCAGCAGACCCACCAGCCTGGAGCCCGAGATCGGTCCCGAGGGGCCCCGAACCGAGAACCGCAACACCGTGCTGCACAGCGAGAAACAGAAACTCTTAAAACAATCATTTTCTCTTTCTTTTATTTTAATAATTGTCATTTAGCATCCAAACTCTAATATCAGGTCGTCAGTAAACCAGGTACCTGAGGTGTGAGTGTCCCTGCAGCGCTCGGACCTGGACGTCGCTGTCGAGGACGTGGAGCAGAGCGGCGAGCTGTCGGACCACCGTGTCCCTCTGAGCCACGCTGACCTGAGACACCGACACCGACATCTCCAGCTCCACCTCCTCCCCGCCGCCGGGCTCTACGGAGACACGGCAGGGACACAACAACAGCCGCTCTCACGTCAGCATGTGACCGTCAATTAAAACCAAGTAGTAGTTTCTGTTCTTGTCCTACCTGGTCGGACCTCCACGGTGGCCGCGGCGGTGTTGGAGCGCCCCTGGGCGTCGGTCACCCTCAGCTGGAACAGGTAGGTGCCCTCGACCAGGTTGGACAGGTAGAGGGAGGCCTGAGTGTCTGAGCCGTACAGCACGTCCTGCAAACAGGCATTTACTTAAATATAATGTTTGTTTTAAACTCAACTATTTAAAAATGATCCAACGTAATCCGTTCAGTTTAAGACGTTATGGAAGAGTGCTCCGTACTGACCCCAGCAGCAGGACTCTGGCTGTCTCTGACCCACAGGTAGTGGACCTCGGTCTGGTCCCCGTCGGTCACGGAGCCTCGGAGGACCAGAGAGTTGTTGGGCAGAGTGAGGGTGTGGCTGCCGCTGGCGTGAGCGACGGGAGGAAGACTTGTGGCTGCAGGAGGAAGGACGACAGAGGAACCTTTGAGCCGGTGTCACGGGTCGGGTTCTTTCGGGGTGTGAATATAAACCCTCTTACCTTCCTCCACTCTGACAGTCAGTGAGGCGCTGTCCGTCGCCCCCTCCTGGTCGGAAACGGTCAGCCTGAAGGTGTAGCGTCCCACTCGAAGGCCCGTTGCTGTAGCAACTGCCTGGTCCACTCCCTCCAGCTTTAATCCCGGAGGACCGCTGGGAAAAAAACACGTTGTTAAAACCACAGTCAGATAAATTTACCTGAACGTGGCCGACTGTTTGCGTCCTACCTGATTGCTTCCCAGCGGTAGCTGACGATGCCGTGGTCGTCGGTGCTCCCGCTGCCGTCGAGCGTCAAGCTGCTCACCGGGAGGAACAACTTCCTGTCGGGACCCACGGCCGCCACCGGGCCACGGTTTGACCCCCTGACCTCTGATGCTGGACAGAGGGAGGAGGGTAAAAGTGATTACGGTATATTTAAAACTGGAATCCGTAGTTAGTAAACAAAGCTTCTACAAAAGGACAGATAATATTGACCCACATTAAGCCCCGCCCCCTTTTGCTCCGGCTCCAATGACAGTTGAGCAACCCTCGATCAGAACCTCGGTCACCTTCTTCCTGTCCTGTACTTAGATACGCTATGTGCTCGGCTATATGTGGGAAAACGTCAAGAAGAAGAGACTCATCGTCTTAAATTAACTAATGCTAGCAAATAGTCATATATTTACCAGACTGTGCGGTGCTCGTAGCAGAGGCTGTGGTCAGGGTTGGAGGGTTGGTGCTGGTGGTGGGGTCAGAGGTCAGGGCTCTGGCCGGGGGCTGGGTGGTGGCCGGTGGAGCTCTGGCTGCTGATTGGAGCACCTTCAACAGGTCTGTGGAGCATCAAGAGACAACAACATGTGAACTGTCCCTTTAAGGGTTCTAGACTTATTGATTATATGTTATACAAAAGGGTTCGAAGGGTTACTGTAAAAATGTAATCTGATACAATTACTGATTAAAAAATGTAGTCAGTAAACTAATCAATGTATCACATTATTAAAGTAATATAATACTTTTAACTCAAATTAAGAAAAGAGAAAAGAAACATCAATTAAAAGTATTGCTTTAAGTATATTCTATAGGAAAAGAGATTTTTAGCATTAAAAATGTGTGTATTTTATAATATTGTAATCCTACAAAATGTAACTAATCTGATTACATCTTGCAAAATATATAAGTTGTATTTAATAGTTGAAAAGTTGAAAAGACACAAAAGGTTTAATATGTCTTTATATTTAATATATTTACTACACATGATTGGCTCTACTGCAGCTTTGAAGGTCCCGTCATGTGTTAAAGTGTAATCAGAT